CCCCAAAACCCCAAAACCCCAAAACCCCGCTAGTACTATTTAATCAATATTAGCAGAATCAGAGAATTAGAAAAAAATTTAATTTAAAATCTACAGACATAAACTTTTCATTGGTATGTTTCTTGGTTCTATCTCAAGATTTTAATGGAATCTTCCATCATTTGAGTATGCCTACATCATGCTAATCAAAGGATAGTCTTCTTGGATAATCTGATAGGGTAGGGATCAATCAAACTTTGATATAGATTTGTATTATCTTATATGTCAGAATCTCAAATCTTGTTTGACACCCACTAAAATTGATAGTTTTAGGCAAGATTTTCTAGTGCCCTTTAAAGTTTAGCCTATATATTTGATACTGGAAAGTGCTTACCTTAATATAAAGAGAGATTAGGTAGATATTTTGCTCTTTTAAAAAGTTTTTAAATTCGAATAGTATTCGTTGATAATTTATTAATATGAAATGAGTTAAATAAATTGAACAGGGCATTAAATCATAAGCTTAAAATGCTTCTCCAAAACTTTTGCAGTCTCCATTCAAACCTCTATTCTTCCTCCATAATTCAAATTTATAGCCGAAAATTTCGATTTTTCATCTTTTTAAAGCCATGATTCCTATATATCAAGGCCAGAATAGGTTATAATGAAGCTGAAATTGATGAAAATGGAATATAGGTAGGGACGAGTCAGAGAATAAGAGGAAAATTAAAGAAAATCGAAGATGATGAGATTTGAGGCAAGTACACTCGAAAATGCACAAGTAGATTTTACCCTAATCAAAGTAATATTTATAATATATTCAAATTATAACTCAGAATATGGACGATAACAGAGTACAAAAAAATACGACTTAAACATAAAGCCAAAGAGCTTAAGAATCTTCATTTTCCCCCATTAGGAGCAGTCCAGTAAGTTTATTAAATAGTATCAATTAATCGAAATTGCTAGTAAGGGGATGCTAAGATGTCTAAAAAAGGAGGCGCAGAGAAAGCGTACGGGAAAAATAAGAAAAGAAATAAAAAGCGCAAATCTAAGCTCTCAAAGTCAATCGCCACAAAGGGTTTTAAAGTAAGCAAACTTTAATAGAAGTAAATTTAATCAATAGAAGCCAAAGCTAGCCAACTTAAAGAAGAATAAACTTGGAAAACGTAAGATTCAAATAATCGATCTCTAACTGAGACCTAAACCTTCATCAACCTTTCTAAATATTTCTAATGTTAATAGCTTTATCTGTAGGCAAGTTAGATATTAAAAAGAAAATCTAAAATGGATTTGATTTCATTAGCCAGCCTCTGAAAGCTTTGGGCCTTCCACCAAAACAAGGTAGGCCGGCGAAAGATGCCACGAGATTAGGGTTTGGTGGATTAGGTCAGGATCTGAGGAACCCTCGAAGTTCAGGACTTGGTGAGTTAGTAAACAAGCGAGCTCTTACTTCCCTGATTCAAGGTCATGATGCTTATTACGGTTAGCAAATTTCACCATTTGCAACTTAGACACTGAGCTCGCTTCAGAGATAAGATAAGCCGCAAATCCAGTTACCTAATTAATAGTAATAAATGTTTAGAAGCCATGTCATATAATAAAAGACCGAAGAGTACTATTAATTATAATTATTAATTTTATTAAAATAGGAGCTTCTAGCTTAAACGTTCAGATAAGTTTGAAAGAGAAAAATAACTACTCCTAATTCTCGATGATATGCTTGAGTAAATTAAACATTTCTCACTGGAAGATAAGATAGTAGACTTCATCAAGATCTCAGAAAACCTTTAGCACTACAACCTGTCGCCCAAGATCTGCATTAGATGGTGGGATAACCTAAAAAAGAAGCTTAAGGATCTATACAAGAGGGAAAATGAGTTTTAGGCTCTTTGTAGGAATGAAGTGAATGTTGATTTTTGGACAGAAACAATTCACATGTTCAAATTAAGAATTAAAGCCTATGAAAATACAATCAATAAGAATATTTAAGATCCTAACCCAGAGGAATAGAGTTCTCTATAGGAGATATCCTAGAGTAAAATGAATGAGATGACTTTATTTAAGAAAGAGGAGGATAGATTTGAAGACATGATTTAGAGTTATTTCCAACTTTTCGATCAACCAAACAAATTTGTTCAAGTAATGGAGGATCTCCAATTAAAGGTCAATGATTCTAGCGATATTGTTTAGTAAATAGACAAAAATAATAAATAAGAAGAAAAGATTACTTAGATAGATAACATTCTAAGTGAGCTATTGGCAGAAATTCAGGACATTGAACTTGAAAGAGAAGACCAAGTTCAAAGCTTTAAATCAATAACTAACTAAAACTAACAAGTTAATTAAGAAAATAACCAATCACTAAATGTGGAAACACTACCATGGACAAACCAAGAGATATCTAGCCTTATAAGAGGAGTCTTTAGATTTGGTGAGAATGAATGGAGTGAACTACTTGAGGATATAGATGTGCATTAGACAAGAACAGCCAACCAAATTGCTTTGAAGTGGCGCTAAATAAAATAAATAATGAGAAAAGATATTAAGAGAGTATTATAAGAAACCAAATTTGATAAGATTATAACTAAGCATGAATGGATGATAGCAGCTCTTGAGTTACTCGAGCAAGATCAGCCTAATCTTAGAGATGAGTCCCCTTCTCAACTCTATGAAGTCTTATTTATTGATCCCAGCAAACTTACTCCTTATTAATATTCACAACTTGAACAGTAAAGATAGCAATAAAAAAACTAGGATCAAAGCTCCAACATAAAAAAGCTGAAGTTTAAACAATTCGGTAGTAATATTGACTTAATAAAAAATGCTCTATAGAGTGTTGCGGGTGATATGTCAATGGAAGAGAATAAAGAATTCTCAAAGCTTCACTAAGACTAATAAATAACTCAAGGAGTTATTGATCTCAAAGAATTCGCCCCACATCTATTAGATTCTAACACTAACCTAAAAAGATCTTATTCCTTAAACTCAGCCATGCCTGGAGGAGTAGGAGTAGGGTAAAATTAGTAAACTACTACTGGGGGATCCGCCAAAGATTAAGAATTTGTAAAAATTATTTAGCAATTATATTAACAATAGACCTCTGATTCTATGAAGTTTTTGAATCCCGGATTCACTAATTAGATTCAAGGTCACAGAATGTACTCCAACTTTGCCTTTGGTGATAATAACCTTCTAATGCAGCCTCCTTAAAACCAAATAATACCAAAATAATTCCCGGAAAATATCAATGATAAGGCGAAAAGCTACAATCAATTACTCAACAATCGCAGAGATTAAACTTCTACTTCTATTTAATAAACTTCATCCCTTCCAAATGGTGTACTTGAGTTCTAAGCACCTTAGAAAAAGATAAATGATGATTCACTTAATCTTAAGAAGCTACTCCTACAAAATAATCTACAAAGATAATAGCAGATCTAGCATTAGCAAAGAAACATGCCAGCTCCTATCGAAAGCCATGTGAATAATGTGAATCCTGAGCCACCTGTAATAAAGCCAAATACTCTAAAATATGTCGCACCTCCTCATATTTAAAAGGAGAGTGGTGGAATGAACGGCCATGCAAGCCCGAAATTTGACAAGGCCAGTTCAATTGGTCAAGGTGGCACAGTTTTCAGCAAGCCTCAGCTAACTCATTCAAAGTCTTTTGGGTAGGGAAATACGATAATAAATAACTACTTTATACAAAATAACATCTAAGTTAGTAATTATTAGAGCTTCTACCATAGTGGAAACCCCCTAATTGGAAATATCTAATAAAATTTGAACGGAATAAACAGCTAGAACATCAAAGGGAAGGACTAAGTTCATAAATAATCGAATCAAGGTCACTAGAATGATAAAAATAAATGAATAAATGCTTTGTGTCCAAAATATTCTATATTACTTAAAATTTCAATTTATATGTACTTTATAGGTATCAGGGGTTTTGGGGTTTTGGGGTTTTGGGG